TGGTCCCGCCACACAGGGTCCCTTGGAGGGGGGCGGTGGCCTTGTGGCCTTGGTGCTGACAGGAAGATGGGACTGAGGGAAGGGGTTTGGGCAGGTGGCACAGGGGTGGAGGCAGCTGTTCAGCCAAACTGGACACGCAGAGGGCAGTTAAGCTGGGCCCATCGGCTGGCACAGTCTCCGGTGTGGGCACCCCTGCCAGGTCTCCGGCCATCACGACGACGGAGGAGGAATCCCTGAGCAGCTGCCTGGGGTGGACGGTGCCCAGGCGAGGGGTTCTGAGGGCGTCCGTGTGGGCAGCTCCACACGGGCGGAGGGGCAGACACAGTGGGCAGTGGCCAGGGGAGGGGAAGCATCCGGGCCTTGAAGGGCCAGTGATGGAAGAAGGGGCTCTGAGGAGAGGGGAGAGCAAAGATGACCCTGGGGAGGCTGAGGAGGGGGCAGGAGGAGGAGACACGGGTGGGAGGGGCAGGAGGCTGAGAGGAGGCCCAGGGGTGCTTTCCCTGGGAAAGGGGTCCCACCTTGACCCAGACCCTCAGACCAGCCTTCTGGCCTGTGCCCTGGACCCCGACACCCCATGGCCCTGCAGTTCCAGGTCTGAATATGCCCCAGGGTGTCTTCCACGCAGGAGCAGAGGGCCCCACCCCAAGCTCCAGGCTGCCAGCCTCACGGCCGCCACACACACGATGCTCATTTGGGCCAAATATTCCCTCTGCAGTCATGCGGACAGCTGGTGCTGCACCCCCTCGCGCACACCTCCTCTGCACCTAATGATCTCCATAGACAGGCAGCACACGTACCACCTCCTCCAGGAAGCCCCCCTGCTGGCACCCTGGCCCTGGGCAGGCGGAGGCTCCCACAGCCCCTGCAGTTTGAGCTTTTGAGTGTCAGTTTCCTTCTGTTCCCCACACTGGACCGTGAGCCCCCGACCGACGTCCTCACCGAGGTCCAGGCCCCAGGCTGTCAGGGCAGGAAGAGAGATTGGGGCAGCGGCCGGCTCTGTGCGCTGTCCCTCTCGCCCCTTTGCATTCCCCGTGGGCCTCCTCCCTGGGCCAGGGCTGGGGTCCTGGGCGAGGGCTGGGGTCCTGGG